TTGAGATATGTGATTTGTTATTGAATTTTGCACAAAATATCAAAAAATTAACGTGGGCGACGGCTGTGGACACTGTTTTCTAAAGGAAAATCACCCTTGAAATGTGCCATTTTTAGGCTTTTTCTGTTGAAAATAGAGAAATGCTTCATATAAATGACGTCATATTTGTAGAATGGTAAACCTTCATGCCATATTCTTTCCTGATTTATCAGAGCCATTTATTTAACTAATATTTAAGACAGTTTTAAAACTTTTCGATGTCATTACATTTTTAGGGCGCAATAAAGCTAAAACCGTACCTTCTTCTTACTATCAAATCAAACTCCCGACAAGCTAAAGTAGTGCAAAACTTTTTGTGTACGTTTTTTTAAGCATTCAAATGCAAACAAAAGCGTAAAGATGTAGTTACGTAGAAGCAAGGCAACAAGATCAACGAACAAACTCTCCATTCAAAAAATTCCCATTTTTAAGGGGCATGGTCATCGATCTCTGCTTCCAACAAAAAAAATTGCATGGGCCAACCGAAACTTAAATAAGATTTAATTTGATTAAATGTCCAGTGCTGCTTACTGGATAGTTACTGTAAGACACACTATGAAACTAATCTTGGACTTTCTGACCCCACGAGGTTATACTATACATATATCTGTTATCATGTCCGTGTGATACTTTTAGAACCTAAGTTTTCGAACTTGAGTCTCACAAAGTTTAAAATGCTTTTATCAACGTGAACATTTTCTAAAATTCATGAGTTACTGGAAAAAGGGTTACAATACATTTCACAGTCTTAAAAATTGACTTAAGTATTTTAACGTTATTACCTGTGTTTGTAATTTCATCAGAAAATCCCCTGTTTACATAAGTTCCATCCATGTTGGTAAATTTTTTACACAGATAATATGATAACTCTCCCTACAAGTAACCAACACCTTATGATGCACCCACGAAACATGAGATTTCTACTATTATGTGCGTAGGGCCATAATCCGGCTTCCAATCGAGTCAAATTTTTAAAACTTATAAAAATTAGTACATTCTGACCCTACCTCGCCAAAATGAAAGCATATCAAATAGGTCAAGGAAGTGAAACTCATAAAGTCCACGTGCCTCCTTCTGGAACAAGGTGAATGAATGGGGTTATCTTTAAAACTGTTAAATAACTGTTGGGAAAATTCAACTCCCTTTCTGGTTGTAACAATTAACAAAACTCTTTTTTATAGTAGAAACCCATCTGAAAGATGTGAATAAATTAAATCCAGCATCCGAATCAGATAAATCCTTAGCTGTATGGTCCAGGTACATGTAGGTCTAAGTTAACTTAGAATGAAAGATGCTCTATGAATTAAACTTCGAAAATAAAAGGAATTCTTAGAAAAAATAAAAACGTCAAACTTACTTTTATTTATCAATCACTTTCTCAAAACTAGAGAAATCATTGTCACTATTACTACTTATTTTATTGTGCTAGTAGTACATATGGTATGATAAATAAGGGCTTCACACTTCCTCATGTTAAAATTAGCTACCTGGTGCAGGGAGCTTGTATAAATATCATAAATGCAAACTTTTACAAATTTTTTTAAGATAAGAAACTTATCGTATAAGTAAGCATACTTGAAATTGACCAAGCATATAATATAACGCCAGAATGATGTTATCTGTAGTTACTGAAGTAAACTGTTACAACAGCAAGAGGTCGGTTTGGTATTATAGTATGATAGGGTACACAAAAAGTACTAAGAAGAAATTTACAGACACTGATTCAATATATTTATATATTCTGATGAAAGCAACGAACAACGTAAAAAGTTCCTCATAAATTATCAACAAATAAACACTGACTTCAAAGTAAAGTAAAGTTTTAAATCATGGTTACTTTTGATTTTAATAAACCCTTGTGAACCGGAAACATCGTTTTTGAAATTTCAAATGTAATAAAAATGATCTTTTAGATCATAATTAAAAACAAATATAACAATATTTTTATTTTATTTTGCAGTTGGTAGACGGTGTCCAGAAATCGATTCGGAGGTAAAAATCAATCATCATTCACTTCTACCACCGAGAACGATTTTACCAACAGTTTTTCAATATAGATAAAAGGGGTATTCTGATAAAGCACTCGACAACGTCAGAATTCCACCAAACTGTTCAGAAACAGTCCTTAATTTTAAAGACATGGCAAAATTGAATTCTGCTAATTTTGGCTATGATTAAATTTACATAGATACTTATCTATGATTATATTTACATGTACATATATACTTATTTACCTTTACTCATAACTTCTCCAGAAAATGCACGGTTCACATATGTTTCTCCCATGCCTGCGTTTTGTCTAAAACTAACCCCATTCGGGCGCAGCCATACCTGAACAGGTGGGTTCAGGGGACTAGAAATCAATACCTCGTCCTACAAAGTGACCTCGTCTCATAATAACTTTTTTTTTATTTCGTAAAATGTGTAATTGGATTTCTTTCACAATTTTTTTTATTGGCAAAGTAACTTTACCTAAAAGGGCACGTAATACCTATGATGCAAAAAAAGAAATTTGTCGCGTTTTATCAACTAAGCTTAACAACACAAAAATTAAGGAACTTTTAATGCATCAAGATGAGTGGGAACGGTCAAGGCTTGCATGTCAACGGCGAAATTTGGCATCTTGTTTGACATCAATTCAAACTCGACTAAAGATGTTGATAATCAGTTGTTAAAAATCTATCATGATGCATGTTGGAAAGCTGAATTTGCTTTTTCTACAATTATCTATTTAAATATTCTGATTAAATGTTTCAAATAAATTGATGAAACTTTAAACAAAAAAGGGGGGAAATGATATTTTTTTTAAAGTACTTGATACTTTTTTGTGTAGTTGTATTCAATCACCTTTTTTAAATCAAGGAGGATAACAGGTTTATAGTTATGAATTATTGGATTGTTCAAGATATATCCATAAATGTGTGTCCAAATTGGTCCTTAGCTAGTAAAAATAATGTAACAGTGTCTAGGGACAAGCCCTCACCACATCTTAAACTTTTAATCAGGATGCATTGAGAGTGTACATTCTCCATGCATACTTGTTTTATCAGCTTGGTACTTCAAGACGTTAATTATGATGTCATTCTAAAAATGCATTTCCCCTGTTTCAAACAGAGTCAGTAGGACAATGCCATTTTGATATCATTTTTACGATACATCAATAATGTTCCATCTAATGGAGGAGTGTGAATTGTTTTCTCATTTGAATACTAAATTCGAAGAAAGAGACTCAAGGTGTCCATTGAGGTCTGATGGACAACAAGAAACATTACCAAGGAAAGAGGCCTTGATTCTGACATAACAAATGATTGTTATGTTTAAAAAAAATCTGAAGAATTAATAACAGTGGTTTTTATTACAAAGGAATGAGGCCTTGTGTCTGACATAACAAATGATTGTTATGTTTTAAACAAATCTGAAGAATGATAACAGTGATTTTAATTTTTTTTTAATCAAGTTACAATCGTGTCATGAATGCTGTAACCACAGACTAAAGTGAAACCAATGTATATAATCAAAACGTAAGTAATTGGACATGATTCTTTTGTATACTTTCAAGAATGAAATATGATGTGAAAACGAACAGTATTCAAGCTCAAAAGTCAATTAAGCAATACAAATTTGGAGCAGAGTACACATGGGCCTCTAAGACACCAGAGGTAGGATCAGGTGAAATGGAGGGAAGCGCACCTTTTGCCGAACGGTCACATCCGCCGTAATGTATTTTGTAATTTTATTAACCAATTTTTATTGCAGGAAATTATTTTTTAAATCACTATGTTTACTTTATAATATTATAACCACCATAGTACGTTTGAGGTCAGATAATTATATGTATGACCTAGGTCAAGTGTGTTTTCATTCATATGAATCAAAAGTAATTGTCTTGATGCTTTTAGAATAATGTATTGAAATATTATTTTCTGAATTTCAGGTAATATATTCGCCCTCCGTCGCATTAAAAATGCCAATCTTGAAAGCCCGGTACACTATACCGCTAAAAAAAACCAAAGAAGGGCTAATTCCTCGATATTTAAGGAAAAAATATAGTTGGCTTATCTTAAATTCGAATTTGTGAGTACTTTGGAACCATATTTAATCGTTTAGCTCATAATTATTCAATATGCTACTAATTTTTTATTTAAATTAAAATTTAAAATGTAGATTGATTAATTGTTTTGATTTCATAATACCACAAATCACTCTTTTGTTCAAACATTATGAATGCTATTTGTTTAGGAGCCATCATGTAAGTAAATTTGTAGACAAACCTCATCTGATAACCACGATCAAATTATATCTAAATGTAAATATTTATCAAGTAACATTTATTTATTTTACATTGAATTTATTTATTCTTATATACCACTTTTTTCATCCAGATGTCATGTTATTTAATATTTGACGTCGTGTTTGGAAATTCTGGACCCACGAAATGTAAATACATACATGTATTTAATATTGAGAATTGGAAAGAAAGACAGATGCGAATTTGTAAGTAACCGAGTACGATTTTGACACATGCCTACTTGATAATTCCTCTATATCTTTTATCATCCTTTACCACACTATCAAATAATATCAACTCTGTGTTAATAAACAATTACACAACAGACGATAAAAAGTATGAGCTTTTAAAAGAATTTTTTTTATTCCAATACACAATATATATATATATAATTGTTATGAAGTTTAAGGTTATTTTTACTTTTGAAAAGTTTGGATTCAACTTTTGATTGGTTTTTAGTTCTGGATATGCATGTGTTTATTTACAGAAATATACATTTGTACCGATTTTGTTATAATTCTATAGTTCTTTAAGTTTTATTATATAGTGGTGAATAATAAGGATCTATATGATCATAACTTATTTTAAGGAGACAGGAAAAATTTAAAGAAAACGTCATTAAAACCAGTTATTGTATTCTAGACATTTGTAAAAGATAACTTTTCCCCTACCTTCTAATTGGCTATCGAAGCCTCCATTTTCATGGTTGTAGAAGGAACTCTTCTGACTTATTCCACTTAGAAGGGGTTTCTTCTCAGAAATGTCCATAGCTCTACGGTTAAATCAATAATTTTTCTGAAAATATTAATTCTAATATCTAATCGAGATGCTGTGATGCATTGGAAATTACACTTGCCAAATGCAAAGGATAAAATCCCATGCAAATTCAACAATAAAAGAAAAAATGTATTTACCTTTTTGAGAAGAATTTCCTGAATGATTATAAAACTTCCTCTATAATTTATGCAGATATATTTTTGAAACACGCATTTACAACTTCATTCAACATTAAGTTAACATAATCGAACAAAGTCCCCGGTGTAGGTATCCTGACACGTGACTGATATCATGCACATGTACTTATATCGTATCACACACAACAAAAGTCACACACATTTATTATATTTATATAATTTCTCTGTTTTTCTAAAAGAAAAAAAGATCGTGAAGCTTTACATAAAATTTATGATTCGTATACTCAAAGCTAAATGTCATGAATATGAAACAAAATGTAATTTTAAGAATAAAAAAAAACTTGTACTAATTTATTGTATATTAAAAACGTTTAAAAATTCTTTAAGTATTATCTTGATATTCTAATTTTATAAAATATATATAACTCTCTTTATATTATATATAAATTCCACCTTCTATAAAGGAAATGAACTAGAGGACCATAAGTAGAAAGAAAAAAAAAATCCTCATTAAAGACACTTTTATAAGAATCATTTCAAGTTTTTTAACTCCGTCTGATGGAAGTCTAATTTTATATTTATATGGACAAGAAATATATTTCAGAACCTTACATATCTAAGTATATACCTAAAACACAGTCAATTCTGTATAAATTTGAAATAATATAAAAAATATATATTCATTTAACTGTATTGAGTAACATTAAATTCCACAATCACTCACTAACGATTCTATGTCAAGAGGATTTCTATAAGACAATATAAAAATGTTACATTGTGCATTGTAACATACAAAAGAAGAAAAGTGAATAAATTATTAAATACAAAATTACAAGACAACGTTTAAAACACTGCATGGTAAAGGAGATCGTATGATGAAGACCTTCTTGGACAGTAAAGGAAATCAGTCGGAGTCCTATAATGAGAGCAAAGAGCAGCCCCAGATCTAAGTAGAAATTTCCTGTGGAAGGAAATAAACTTGATTTAGCACAAAAAAAACTCAATAATGTAATGTCATTCAATGAGAAATGAAAATAAGAGCTCAAATATCCGAGGAGAAAAGTTGGCCCTTGGCTAACCAGACCAAAAAGTCAACGAGAATGAAAACTCTCAAAACTTATATAATTTTGTTAAAAAAAAATTTGTGTTTATTTTACTGACTGATTTTATCACATATTATAATAAATGAAAACCATGCCTAATAAAATATTTTACCTTATCAAAACAAAGGGTCTTTATGACTAGCTCGCCACGAGGAACGCAAGTGGTATTTGATGTACATGCTAGAATTGCAAAACAATATTAAAATGAGCAAATGCTCTGAATGATTTCAATTCTAATTTTTATATTATGTTACATATCATGTACATATATTGTTTAAAGTCAAAACGGCAATGGGCAATTTTAAATAACATTTCTTTATTCGTATAAATAAATATTCAGATTAACGAACAATAACCAAGTCAAATGAAAAACATTAATCAGGAGCAGTGCACAGTGGACATCAAAAACACAAGAGGTGGGATCAGGTGCCAATGAGGACTAAGCATCCTCGGTTGATGATCACAACTGTCATATGCTCAGATTTATCGTCGGACAGACAGGGAAATTCAGTTTACTTTGAAACTGACGATTTATTGCTACATAAATATTGATGAAAGCGAAGTTGATGGCTTCACGTTTATAATTGTTTCAAACTTTTAGTTTTATTTAGTTCGAGTTGAAAAGGATAAGTTGAATCAACTCAAGAAAAAAATATAATTTTTAGAGAGTTTTAAAAATTCTTTTTATTAATAACAAACCTCTTTAAATTCAGAGATGAACGAACATTTTTACAACCTTTTCTTCCAATACTAAGCCAGAAAATGGAGAATAGGGACTTAATGTCATATCTTAACTGATAAAATAAAAGTTAGTGATATTGACAGGCAAAAATATTCTTGTCAAAGAAATCATGAATGAACCCCTCAAAGCCATAGAAGGTGGAATCTTTCTTATTTAATTTGAATAGCTAACTCATTAATGTTGATTAACCAACTTACCTATGTTGTTCACATTATCCCACTGATTAACAACCAGAATTTCGTTTGCATATGAGAACCAGGATAAATATTTGAACCATATCAGCCAGTCAGGGATGGACCTTACAAAGAATGATACTAAAAACCGATGATATTATAAGGGCTGTCTAATAAAATCGTGGACAAACCTTTTTCTCAAAAAATAATGGGCATACTATGTTGAAAGTTTCAGCAAATATTAATTAATCTTATTTAAGTGCATTTTCTTTGTTTTAATAAAATTTACAGAAAAAGAATTCTTAGTATGCTTTAATGTGTGCAAGTTACGGTCCTACGGTGCAAGAAAAAAACAGGGTTTCATTAAAAAATGCACGAACATTATTTCTAAATAAAAGTATTAAATAGATAAAACTGAAATAAATATTACCCTTATTTAATCCACTAACTATTTTGTTTGTCTTTGTGCATACTTCAAGGCATTTGCTTAATTTTGGATTATTTCCCTTGCATTCAAAATGGGAAAATGATAAACACAGAAAGTTTAAAGCACCGCCCACCAGAGAGCAATGCAGTTTGATTTAGATGTAGTAATAACGCACTTGGAGACTTTAAATGAATACAGAAGAAAAATATAAAATGATAAATAAACTTATTACCAGATACACAATTGAAATGTGTGCATGCCTAGCAAAATCTTTTGGTTGATTTACAGCTTAGAAAAATATACATGTACGGACAAAAAGTAATAGCGAAAGAAACTGTTATTGTAGACCGCCGATATAAGATTGCCTATGTAGTTGAATGATAGTGCAAATGTTGTTCATAACGTATATTTTGAATCTTCTGCAGGTTCCATGTGTGTATGAGATTGGTTCCTGGAGGAATGAATAGAAACTCAAGTACATGTATGTGCATCAATGAAATTCTTAAATTGAAGCGGGACATCCAATTTTTTAGCGAGGAGGAAATGTGACGCTGCTTTAGACATGCTGACCTTATCATTCATGCGATAGAACATTAAAATATAAAATCTCATAATTTGTTTATTTATGCAATTTGCAATGCATCTTGATGAAAAATGTACAAAAGAAAAGAGAAACATTTATAACGCAGTGGTGATTATTTTTCAATTTAGACAACCTATCCACGATTTTATCAGACAATCCTCGTGTATAAAAATGCTCAGATTTATTATGCCATTTATTATCGAGAAAACTTCAGATATAAGTTCCGTAGGGCTACTTAGTATACATATATTGCTTAATTGCTTACCCACTGTTTAGGAAAAATCCACCAAATAAGAGTAACGGTATCATGATTGCTGGGGCTATACCTATAGCAGCAGTGACTGTGGGGGCGGCAGCTGATACAACGTAACCTGAAGGAATAAAACAATACTAGTATCTTACATGCAAATAATATTATTTAAAACAGATGTCACATTTTACACTTATATTAATTTATAATTTTCAAAGTTGCATACCAAATGAAGCAGCCGTATTTGCTACCACAATAGCTACGCCCATGGCCACCAAAAACGCATCCGCATCATGCACTAAACCTGTAAAATGCCAAATACATATACTACAGTCAAAATGTTCGTTTAAAAATTCTTATTTTAGTTTAAGTTTGTTTAAATAAACTCAATGAAGACTTGATTGGAACGAGAATTTTTTTAAAGTTATCTCCCTTCATTACAGGGTGTTGTGACTGGTGTATGTACCATTATTTCTGTATCATGTTTTCAGTGCACTCATTTCCTAATTTTATACTTAATATCAAAAGAGTTTTTTTTACTTATACCGTTACATGAAAAAAAAGTAACGTACCACTCATCCAGTAGAGTATGGACATAAATATTATAGGGATGGCGATCAAGAACGGTATCTAAAAAACGATGTTTACATCTTAAGCAAAAAACAATATTTCGAATGAACAAAATGTTTATTTCTAAAACATTTTTCATCAGAAAATATATTTTTTTTTTAATTCAAAAAAGTTAACTATACCTCCACCAGTGTTTTACTTATATAGTACACTCCGACGCTGTAGAGTCCTGTACCATACTCCCTTAAAAATATCGGTACCTCTACTGGAAAAACCTAATTATAAAAAGGATGATAGATTGTAAAGCTAATCATTCATTGAGGATTTGTGTAAAATGTGAAAGTACATGTGTTAATTCTGTCTCTGATGATAAATGTAGAAAATTTTTACGTATAATTTCTTTCGTACCCTCAAAATCTTCATCTAATAAAAGTAAGCATGATTTCCGAGATATTCTCCGTCCAATATGTAGCCATCAACTTGATGATCAGGTTAAAATCCATACAAATAACATATAATATTCTCAATGTTCGATACAATGACCTTGTCAGCAAATGCACTTTATCATCAATTGAAATGATGACTGACATTTTTCATACTAATTGTTAAACCATTTTTAACAACTGGATTGACAACGGATTTTCCCCCCGTTTTTCCCAGATCATGACAAGGAGCACATAACAGGTGTGATCGGTCTGCAGAGAATGCTCACTCCTCTATGACACCTGATCCTACCTCTGACCTTTTGCAGGTTCGAGTTTACTTTGCTCCAAAATTTGTATTGTTTAATGGTCTTCTGAGCTTAAATGATGTTCCATTTATTTACATTTGTAAATATTTTCCCTTATGTAACACTATTTGAACAAGGCTTTTTTACATCTCCGTAAAACATTGATTGTTTAGTCATAAGCGATTTACGTAATGTCATAATGACGTCATGAGCGATCGACGTTATCAGCACATTCAATTTATACCGTTGAGTTTTGAAAAGAAAACTTATTAAATTTCAAACTTTACTAATGTACCTTACTATTTGTAATAAATCAGTCACAAATGTAAATATAAGTAATAAGGTATGACTGCATGATACCTTCGGGCTTTATGGGATTTGATCACGTGACCAACCCGTTTTACATTTCAGTAAAACTAAAGAAATGATAAATTATTTCTTAAATATTTCATTCTTACATTTAGAACAGAGAAGATATTGTTAAAGCTGAGGTTGAGGATAAGAACAAAGATGACTCCGTTAATGTTCATGATGTTGTCTTGAGCATAATCGTCGTCTGTCTTCAGAAAAATGATTCCTAGTACCACAGCAAAAAACTGAAAACAACGAACAAAAAACATTTTTCATAATAAAGGTTTCAATAGATTTTATTAATTGATGTAGTTTGTTAAACGTCCCTCTCGAGAATTTTTACTCATATGGAGACGCAACCACTTGCCGCTGGAGAGCTTGCAAATTTTGACCTAAGTTCGGCACAGAGTGCCATTGAGGAAGGAAGGATCTTTTTCAGGCCAGCGCCTAATGCCACATGGGACCTCGGTTTATACTGTCTAATCCGAAATACCGTTTTCACGTCCCACAGTATGATTCGAATCCTGTTAGGATCAACTCCTTACAGCGTCAATAAGTCTTACAATAGTTTGTATGAACTTGATCCGGACTATCAGTGGATCTCGAATACTTGTTATCCAACTTCGCCAGAACACTGACTTCAACTGCTGGATAAAGGATGCTCCATACCTGTCAAAAACAAGGTATTTAAATATACATTTTTTGACCGAGAGTTAACAATAGAAAAGTATATGAATACATAATGGCTCTTTTTTTATATAGAAAATTATTACTTCATAATTTAGGCTCCAAAAATATATAAAAGAACGTCATTGTACCCTGTTTCTAATTCATGTTGCTTTTAGGTCGTTGTTACCGTAAAAACTAATAATTTAGATATTTAAGATTGCTTATCAAAAATGGTATCACAAATTGAAGCAGCTTTTAATTTTACTTATAGAAAATTGAGAATTACTGTATAGGCAGTAAAGACTGCCAATTCTGACACATACGCATTTTTGTCTCAAATTCCGCTTTATTATTGAATTAGTCTTAATCTGTTCAACCTCTCGGCCTGTCTGTTATGTTTAAACAAGATAATTTTTCTAATAATATAGCTGATGAATCGCTGTTTACGACTTTATGCAGTTTTATGTAATAATAGTATTACTTTATTAGATTGTTGACATAAATCTCATTAAAATGAACAATGCAACTACATAACAAAAATAGCTGTAAGTGAGCTTTTTTTATTATGCTAATAATATAAGATTGCTATTAAACAATTAAACAGTATATATAACTTAATACTATTAATATTGTAGATGACACAAAGTATTCGAAACGATGTCATCTTTAAATATCTTATTCTACATTAAAAATGCAACATTATTGAGATAATAGACAATTTTCAAGTTCTTTGGTACATTCAAACAATACAAACCAAGTGCACACGAAACATGGACATCTATATGCTAAAAATCAACTGTGGGATTAGTTGCCATGGAGAAGTGAGCATCTCCCGCAGACTGGTCACACCCGCCGTGTGTTCCTTGACGTGACAAACAGAATAATTGTAGACAGTTCATTGTGTAAATTATGGCATAAATATGATAAACTAGTGTTGTGGAATTAAACAAATGATTTTGTTTTGCTACTGATAGTGTGTTATTAATGGACACATTATTCAGATATATAAGCTAGTGGTTAGAATGCTGTTTTCAGCTAGCAATTCAGAAACTTATGAAATTTATATGGCTATAAAAACACTGTAAGTGCAAAGAATATATATATATATACTTATTGATTATAAAGCACTTTAACAAAGCAGGTACTTGCTGGATAAATATTGCGTAAAGCAGAACTGGCAATACACATACTAATTAGTTCACAAGACAACTGAATATGTGGAATACATACCTTGTTGTATCATTCAGAGTATTTAAAACCTGAAAGATAAAAGATTGTCTAGATCTTCAAAAAAATAACTAATAATGGGAAATAACTAATAATGGGAAAAATGTTTAATTGGTATAAAGATCTACATGTGTTAACCTTTTCAAATTTAGAATTCTACGATGTGGTAAAATACGTTATAATTAAGTGATAAGCAACTATACGAGGGTTGATCCAAACGTTCGTGGAATTTCTTCTTATCTCATTAGTTTTTAAGTGAAATTGCTTGAAAATTACTCATGAGAATATAGAAACTTGTTGAATATTATATATAAAAAAAATAATTTTGATAGTAACTCTATGGCAGTTGCCATAGAAACGGTTGTTTGGAAATGCGGGGGAGACATTAACACGTTTATTATCATTTTAATTCTTAATACGTGAAATGGGAATAAAACCGCCCTATGTGATATATAAAAGGAAAAATCTGTCATTTTTATGATTGCTTGATCTTTGATAAACCTTTGTATGAGAGTTTTACTGAATTATAGGCTGAGTTAAAATGCATTTAGTTGCTGGTTTTCCAGTGGCATAAGAAATTTAAGAAAATAGATAGTCCTTGGACGTTCATAAAGGGGGGGGGGCGCTTTTCGGAGGCTCTGTTTTAAGTGTTTATCCACTTAGACAAATTAAAAGCGTTCATGGACGTTGTCGACTGACGTACTGTTCTTGACATTGCTACTGAAATCGGAACATCATATAGAAAGATTGAGAGTATTTTAAAATATGAGTGAAAAATGAAGATAAGTTGGTGCGAGAATATACCAAGGCTTTTCTTGAGAAAAAAAAATGGAGAAAAGGGAGCATTTTGTAGAATTACGTATTCGAATTGGACATTAGAGTAAGATGCTTCTATAACGTGACGTGACATATCAAACTTGAGAGTAACGTCGAAGTCTTCCCCGGGTTTCAAAACAATCCATTTTGCGAAAGCTCGTGTGACCTTATTGATAATTGGAAAGTGGTGAAATTTTCCAATATTGTTGAATTGTGACTCTGTTTTATAAATGTGTCTGTTTTTGGCTTTCATCAAATCACGATAAAATTTTATAAAGAAATTCCACGAACTTTTGGATCAACCCTCGTATATGTGATTTGCTTAATTTTTATTCGTTATCAGTAAGTAAGAAATTTAGAATTGTTACTTATACATGTTATAAGGTAGTTCATGTGCTGTTAGAAGTGAATTCAGTCTCATTCAGAATGTGATGTTGAAACGAATATGTTCTTTATATTCATCAAATACTTGGTAATCTCACTTAGCACACATCGACTCGAACGTATGAACATTAATAATCTCTGGCTAGCTTATTATTTTTAAAAAGATTTCATTTCATTTTCTTAGAAAAAATAAGGGGATAATTGGGCTGTAATCAACACTACTGTTTCTAACGTTAAATAGGGGGAAATGATATCAGCTCTGCAGGATCTATGAGATTTAAAAGATTATATTGATAATGGGATATTGACATTGTTAATTGCATATAAACTAAACCTGTATCTTTTATTAAATATGAAATAATGAATATACGAAGCATATGTCTAAAATAAATTTTTAATTGTAGTATGTTATTAAAAATTACAGCTTGTCAATAGATCATGGGGTAAAGTGAATATATGTAGAGATAAAACAACAGTATTCAAGCTCAAAAGTCCATTAAACAAAACAAAAAAGGAGCACCTCCAGAACCTCAGATTTACATCACATGTCATGGAGTTCTCAGCTATGTTAAGGACCGATATGGAAAATGTGACCTTTGCGCCGTTTTAATATGTATTACTTCTTTTTAAAAAATTGTAACAAAGCAACTGAATACTTGTAGAAAATGCAATATAGCTATCAATTATGGATAGGACTGGGCCGTAGTTATTACCAGTTATATCGCATGTATCAGCTGTTTCACGTGACTTGTATAAAAATAGAATTGTGAAGCTGAATGTAGGAAATGAGGATAGTGCAAGGGCATGCGCTTGTTTTTCAAGAAAAAAATTGATACACATTAAAAGATGTTTATTTCCTCTACCCAAAAAGTGCTAGGAGCTAGTCTCTGCTGTTTGCGAAGTACTGAAAATTTTGCCGAAAATGCTTATAATAGCTAAAAATCTCCACTTCGCTTAAATTCTGTTAGACATAAAAATAATTTTATGCAGACCAGGATCAGCTCCCAGCACTTTTCGAAATATACACTATATAAAGAATAAATATCCGAATTTCAGCTCAAACAAAGTAGTCTATGCCCTTTCACATTTAATGAAAATCACGAATATGCTCATCGTTTTAGCGATATTCTCTACATTTCCTGTCCCTGTGCAGCTCCAATGCTACTAGATAATTTCAGATTCTTTACAAATTGTATTTAATAAATTATTTTCTTTTAGTTTTTAAATTGACTAGGTTTAAAAATCAGCGATGATATCATATTTATTTAAGCATTCTTGTAATTATTAAACCAGTGACTATGCGTTATCTGTGCTGCGTCATGTCAAGGCTGATGACGTCATATTTGACGAAAGACTTTCTTCTATTACTCGACTGTATTGCTATCAAGTATTGTAATTTTACAAGATTTTATAAATAATTGATCAAATAAATTCAAGATGTTATTTACGCATGATCATGTCGTTAATTAATTTTTGTGGCTTGTTAAATTTCAATGACGTCACAATTAAACTTCCAATATGGTGTACAAGGAATGTGAAGTCTGACCTTCCTTAACATAGCTGAGTAGTAAGCATCCCCTGGTGGTCGACCGGAAGAGTAAAAAGTCTTTCCATTACTTACTTGTCTGTGATCACACACTCCATTTATCTCATCCTTCATTGATTTGAATGACTCTGATGCTTCAAAAGTGTCACAAATTTTCTACAAATAATTAAAATCGAGATACCGCATTTTGACAATGATATGTTAGAATTTATAAAGATTGCAATGTAGGAATGCTGTACCTGAACCCGTGCTTTGCAGTCTGTTTCTTTTCCTGGTATGATGGCCAGAGTTAGAATATAATGATCAGCTGGGTTGTAGTTTACTGGGCAGGGATGACCATTGCTGCAAGGAAAATGTCAATTGAAATGGCAATTTATTTTTATGTAAATGTGCAGCATTTAAAAGCAATTATATTTAAATGCAATTACGTAAATCTGTGTTTTGACCTTAAAAGACTTCCAAGCATCCAGAGCTTTACCTTTTAAAGAACTCAAGTGCATCAGTCATAGATCCTGAAAATGCAACTCTCCCCTCAGCTAAAAGGAACAGTCTGTAAATAAAAATAACATCTCATATTGTTTATTTTTTCAAAATATTTCCATTTCAGAGAGCTGTTTAGGCTGGAAATTCTAAATAACTAATACAAGAATTTGAACATCATTTTCGGTTTTTACATTTCATATACCGTTTATACATACATGTATGCTTCAGAGAAAAAACAAAACACTTAAGAACAAGAGGCCCACAGGCTTATAAGTCGCCTGAGTATTATGTAGCATCTTTACAAAAATTGATATGGTTCGTGTTTTAAATCACAAGTCATGAAATTCTCAATTTTGAAAGAGGCCCCAATGCTCATTTTAATCATACACGTAGCATGCTTTAAGTTTGATTTCTTATTACTAAAAGGCAGAGTAGGGGTACAAAGAAAAAATGCATTTCCATTTACCACTCAGCAATAATCATAAGTACTCCCACCGTTTTCGAACCCCTGACCCCGGGGCAATACAGTACAGTTTTTGAAAAGGCATCATTGCTCATCATAAATGTTTGATTAATACGAAGGAGCAGATTTCAAAGCATGAATTCATTTTCAATATAACCATTAGTAGCCAGGTAGCCCTGAACAAGGGACCTTGCAATTCACAATTCTGGAAGAAGGATTCTTGTTCACCACCGTAAAATTATTTTATTTTAATTCATGCAGTTTCACTGTATAATCATTAGAGCCCGACCCTAACACCAGAACTTCTGACCCTTGCAATTTAAAATTTCGGAAAAGGTATCTTTCCTCATTATACATGAATCTATGTACATAGATCGGTTTAATACCCAGCAGCAGATGTCCAAGAGTAAAGAAGTAATTTTATAGATAAATACCCTAAATAAATAAACACCATCAGGCCCAAGCGGGACAGGGTACAAGAATATCATTATTTTTGTTCTCCTTTTGTTAAAAATGCTATATGCTAAATTTGGTTAAATTTGTTCAGTGGTTCCAGATAAGAAACTACAAATGTTCAAAAGTTTACGACCTATTGACGTCGAACGACGTACGACGAACAAAGACATACGAAAAACAAAAAGCAATAGGTCACCTGAGGGACTTTGTTGAGCTAAATAGTATGTAATTTACTATCTTACCCTTCTAATCCTAAATACGTTGATATTTTTATAAAAAGTCATTTTAGTACACTAAAACACTGTGAAAATCTTTTGATCTTTCAAGAATGTAATAAATCACTTTTGCAAAGATTTGAAATTTAAGATTTATCTGATATCTGATAAACTTCTAAGGTCATTATGAATATTTATTGTTCTTTTAAAAGTGGATTTAGTCTTACTCGTCAAACAACTCGAAGACTTCTGACGGTGGCTGGTGAATTGTGCACAAAATGGTTCTCCCACTTTTTGTCATATTCTTCAAAGCTTGTACGACACTGAATGCCATAAATGAGTCTAAACCGGAGGTAGCCTCGTCACAAAACATCAATGGAGGATTCGTAAGTAGCTAAAGACAAATGTATACAAAATTAGTAAATTATTTATCTATTAAATACTTAATGCTTTATACATAAGAAGCCAAACATAAAAAATGTAGTTTCGTAAACAAATTGAAAAGACAAATTTTCAAATTAGAATTTGAATAAGGTATGAAAATAATAGTACTTAAGTTTAAATTCTTAGATATGAAGACAAAAATGGGAAACTTCAGAAGGCAAAAACCGACAATCAATATCACATACATTACCTCTGAAGCAAACGAAAGTCTTTTCGTTTCTCCCCCAGAAATTCCCTTTAGCCTGCCAGGTAACCCAATTACTGTATCAGCACATTTAGTCAGACCAAGCTGTTAAATCAGTCAGTGTTTAATGTTTACCTCCTCCTTACTAAAATCTATATTATCTTAATTAGAAGTTAGTATTTAATATTCATCAAAATAAAAAGAAAATGACTAAAATGTACAATTAAGCTTAGGGATGAAACTTAATGTTCCCTTGCAGTTTTGCATTTATATGTGACTTATTTTTCGACCTACCAAACCAATATTTGGGGAAAACAACTTGAAAAACAGATTCCTGTGAGTTATAGATAATGCCAGTGGAACATGAAAATTTTCCTCCCAGAGATTTCACAATTAAGCTTAAATAAAGATACATGTATGGACTGTACACGTACCTGAAGAATTACATCTTCCACTTTCCTCAGTCTTTCGGCTCTTGTTTTCCTTTTGTCCATTCGAAGTAATGCCTAATTGATAAAAAAAAAGAAAGGCATATGGGCATTTATGTACCGATACAGGTTGATTTATAATGTGGTATGTAAATGATGCATGACGCCAAAAAGAATCCTTTAGGATCTAATTAATGGTTTTAAGGCCATCTTCAAAAATGTTTGGTTGCCCTCTCCCGACTGAATGACTCATTTTCTTTAATTCAAAGACACTTTTTTTCTTTTTATTTTCTTATCCCGTCAACAAATATGCTGAAAATTTCTGGAAAACAATTTCCGACCTACTGACGCAATAATTTTATCCTTACTCGAAAACATGCAAACCTTACACGGTGTACTCTAAAGATGGTACAATAAAATTTGTTTTTTATTAATACAACGTACTCTAAAGGTGAGATGTTCCCGGACTGTAAGCGTCCCTATGAAGAGATCGTCCTGTTGAACATACGCTGAGATATTTGATATTTTGGTTTTGTCCACTATCACTCCATTGACTCTGACATCACCTTGTAAAATTAGGGCGCCTCTGTTTCTGTAGGTGAGTACGTTTAGCAAAGTGGATTTTCCGGCTCCGCTGAAAACACAATGTTATTTATTCACAACCTATACAATGTACAAATGTACTTCATATTAATTCATTCTGTCCAGTGACTTTCATTAATTTCAGCACTTGTTTGATGCTCCCTCTCCTTCTCTCTCTGTCTGTCTTTCTGTCTGTCTCTCTCTCCCTCTCTCCAATTTTGTCACATTGGTATTCATGGATATCATTGAACGGTAATGATATTGAAATGTAAGGATGTTTTAAGATATCATTACAAAATTTAGAATTAGTTTTGCCTCTCAAAATTGACCACATACACTTTATTGTTCAGCTTACCTTGCGCCCATGACGGCCATGAGTTTCCAAGGTTTTATCATACCATTCACTGAAAAACAGGGAAAATACAATCCTTTTATGATCCATATTTTAAAATTGAAATAGACGGAGGAGGATTTTTTTTAATTTTAAAATGTTAATAAATGACCTTACAATAAACTTTTAATCAAATTGCAAATAAAAGCTATATTTTCTCACCGTTTGTCAGTATTTGTTTTGGGATGGGTTGTGCCTTTCCTCGTTGACAACATCCCCCTTTCTTTGGTAACGCATAAACATTGACGTCCTTCCATGTCAAGGTGACGGGCTCTAATTCTTCGTCTAGAGAGCTCTCCAGTCTGTTTCTCTTTGATCCTAGTTCCGGGTCTGTTCAATATGTATACATGTACACTTACATTGCATGCCGTAGAACGAGGGTCCGTTTAACAAAAGAAGCTACGACTAAGTCCAAACTTTTTGAAAGAACTATAGAAAGATATTTTCATGTCAGCAATTTTTAAATCAATCATTAATTTTGCAAAATGCCCTATCAAAAAAAAAATTGGCCTTAGTTGTAGGTTCTTTTATTATTTGTAGGTTCTTCCAATAATTTTGCCGATACATTCTTATAGAAAACTGTAGAAAACTTCGCTACTATATACTTGTGTCAACTAAATGATAAAGTTTGATGACCTTGTTTGGTTAATCAAGTATTTTTTCATAGTTCTACTTGTGTATATGGTTATGCCCACCCCCACTGAAATTACTTCATACGTGCCTCCATTGAAGCATACTTATAGTTTAGTGTCTTACATGTATATACTATTCCTATCTTGTCTTGCCCTCTGTTCCTTTACACAATTCTGATGGAGTTCATCTTCAACATGATTTAAGTCCCAATATTGAGAATTCTTGCTTTATTCTAGTAAACTTATAAAAATATAGGTCAAAGTCTTCTAAAGTGTATACTATTTATACCTTGTCTTACATACTGTACTTCTGTATCTTTATTTGGAGTTAATCTTCAAAACAGGACATTAAGTAGCTTTTAATTTTAGCCACAGTCAAAGTATCTGACGTACATGTATCTATTTGAACCTCTTCTTTATATGATCTAATATTCACAAGATATGGATAAATTTATATACATTTACGAGACATTTTTTAAAACCCTCTTTTTAAAGTTTTCTGGATCTAACATCTTCGCCTGGGTGTTTAACGGGCTTCAAAATATTTGAAAGGGTTGCTCTTCTGCTAATATGGTCACTTGTACAGTAAATAAACATTTATTTATAGTTTCGTTATCTTTCCCTGTTTGCGATTGACTCTGCACACTAACCTTTGCTATATACAGCCGTATCAGTGTAGAGCTACTTCAGAATATCATACTTCATGTAAAATCAGTTGAATCTGATTGGTCGAGAAACATTTGTTAAAAAACACTACTACCCGCTGTATAATGAAGCCACGCCCTCCAGCGTAGCAAGTCAACAGTGCTTGACAACGGGCAATATTCGAAAAAATAGCGACTGCGCAGAATTTATGCGCGCACAGTTCACTGTTATATGTATTTGTATAAAACATTCAGTATAATATAATAAATGTTGCATGTAGTTGAGTGTAACATTGAAAATTTTCACCCCAAGAAAACCATTGTCAACCTCGGCTGCGCCTCGGTTAACAATGGTTTTCTTGGGGTGAAAATTTTCAATGTTACACTCAACTACATGCAATATTTATATAATACCTTACAGCAAGGGCATGGAATGTAGGTTATTTCGGGACATGATATCAGGTTTAAATAATATCATATACCTGTACATGTAACATTTAAAGTCCGATTCTATATTTATATCCATAGCAAAATATTGGTTGCCATTCCACGTCAATATAAGTTGAAAATTCCGTTTCACGTTGGTGTGAGTGAACATATGAATGTATATCATACGACATTCAACCATTTCATTAAATGAATCTAATTAATCAAAAAATCTCTAAGATAGAGGATCTTACATTGACTCTTTGACGCCACTATGCCATATTACAAATAGGGTGTATGTCAACGTTGAAATATTGTAAAGCTCTTGAATTACACTCAAAATAAGTTTTTATTTATTTCACTGCATTTTAGAAAAAAAATATTTCTTACAAAATTACCTTTATGTGTAACTTCGTCATAAAATCCTCTGTTTACAAAAGTTCCTTCCATGTTGGTAGTTAGTTCTTTGTACAAGTAACCCGACACCTTTCTTTACAAGAAAATAACTCAACCTGTATCCATTACACATGTGTCCTCTACACGTGCTTCTTTAACATAATGTTTTTAATTTGCAAAGTGTAAGTTTACTAAAAGAGCATTAGATGCCTTTGATGCAAAAAAAAAAAAAAAAAAAAAAAAAAAAAATTTGGATTGAGGATCTTTAAATGCATCAAGGTTACTGGGAACGGTCAAGGTTTGTTAACTTCAATTCTGATAAGAATTTGTCAAATAAATTGATCAAACTTTAAACAAAAAAAGGAAACACATGGAAAATGAAAAATAAAACATTTAACTGCCTAATATTTTGGTGTATGTGTCTTGAGCACGTTTTTAAATCAAGAAGGATAACGGGTTTGAAGATATACATTATTACGTTGTTCAAGGAGACATACATAAATTTGTGTCCAAAAATGGTACCCAGACTACAGGTACGTATTATGTATATCTTCCATTCCTTACATATGCTTTAAGACCATGAGAGACTCAGAGAGCTTATATATACTCCCCGATATTCTGAAAAAATATATAGTTTGCTATTCTATAGATTGGTTATTTGTTTTGTTTTCATTATGTCACAATTCACATATTTGTGCAAACATAAAGAATACTGGCTTTTTTAAGAGTCATTTTTAAGAGTGATTTTATAAGTAAAGTAAAGCTGTAGACAAACATTGCCTGATAACCACTAACAACTTATCTAAATGGAAATATTTATCAAGTAACATTTATTTATTTTACATTGTATTTATTTCATTGTTATCAACCACTTTGTCTCATTCTAATTTCATGTTCGCCGCCTCGGGAAATAGTTTCCTCCCTCGAAGAAACCATAAATTTGCTATTTCCCTCGTACCCATTCCATAACTGTATGATATTTGACGTCGTGTCTGGAAATATTTCATGAGAATTGTAAAGAAAGACGAATGCAAGTTTGTAAATAACCGAGTACGTGTCTACTTCGACAACTCCTCTCTATCTTTAAGCATCCTTAACCACACTATCAAATTTTATATCAATTCTGAGTTGATAAACATTTATATAACAGAAGGTAAAACGTTTGAGCTTTTAAAAGATCATTCTTATTTTAATACACAATATCTAATTACCATAAAGTTTTAGGTTACCTCCGGTTATCCATACAAAAACTAAAGCTTTGTAGTTAAATCAACAAATAGAAAACAAGAGGCCCAGGGGCCACAGCGCTCACCTGAGCGCATCGGCTAGGAAAAAGCACATATCAGATCAGAACTAAAAGTGTACTGGGGGGGGTTGAATTTCAACCCCCAGAGGGTCATGATTTGAACAAACAAAGAAGATTTTAAAAGGTTTCCCTATAAACTCCTATGTAAAACTTCGGTCGGCCATTTTGGGCCCACCCAAGCCTCAATGGTCATGATTTAAACAAATTTGAATCTACACTATCTAAGGATGATTCCACATGAGTTTCATCTTTCCTGGCCCAGTGGTTCTTGAGAAGAAGATTTTTAAAGAATTTTCCTATATATACTCCTATGTAAAACTTTGGCCGGCCATTTTGGCCCCACCCTAGCCCAAGGGGTCATGATTTGAACAAATTTGAATCTACACTATCTGAGGATGATTCCACATGTGTTTCCTCTTTCCTGGCCCAGTGGTTCTTGAGAAGAAGATTTTTAAAGATTTTCCCTATATATTCCTATGTAAAACTTTGGTCGGCCATTTTGGCCCCACCCTAGCCCCGGGGGTCATGATTTGAACAAACTTGAATCTACACTATCTGAGGATGATTCCACTTGAGTTTCATCTTTCATGGCCCAGTGGTTCTTGAGAAGAAGATTTTTTAAAAATGCCATTAATTTTTCTCTAATTCATAATTATCTCCCCTTGGAAAAGGGCGTGGCCCTTCATTTGAACAAACTTGAATTCCCTTTACCTAAGGATGTTTTGTGGCAAGTTTGCTTGAAATTGGCCCAGTGGTTCTTGAGAAGAAGATGAAAATGTGAAAAGTTTACGACCACGACAACAACGACAACGACGACGACAGACAACGGACAAATTTTGATCAGAAAAGCTCACTTGAGCCTTTGGCTCAGGTGAGCTAAAAAAGTTAATGCTTAATAAAATAGTCCAATTCACACTCTGCACAATGTTTTGGGGTAAACAAAAAGGTACAAAAAAAAACAAAACATTTCTCCTCTTTCTGATACTATGATGCAAATGGTAATGCTCCAATTTATCCACTGTATCAATGTTGGATTAAGCACTGTCAACAAACTTTTATTTGCAAACAAAAAAAAAATATCCGCGGATTTCCCGATCTTCATTTGCTCGAGAAAATTTCTCATCGCGAACCAATTATTTACTTATCGTAAAAATAAGAACTTCGCTCAGCTCCATCATTCTGCAACCTTAACCTCCACCACTACGCCCCCTTTTCAGATTTTTTCCAAGTTGTACAAAGTTTCGTTTACATTTTATATGCCAAATATGCCATATTTTTTTACTAGTCATAATATGTCGGATGACACACCTATTGTCTCAGGTGCAAATTTTGTGATTTGGCAATTTGTAATTCATACTTTACTTGTATTTTCATATGTTTATAACCCTTACTTATATTTGAATTTTGATTGTGTTTTCTTACTGTCATTTATTATATATTGTAATAAATGACCTATTTTATTCTTTAAAGGGTGTTTTGTGGTGTTTTTATTATATGAAGGCAGACAGGTATGAAATAAGTAGTCGCAAATGGAAGTTTCCCCAATAAAAGATGTTACGATTAATAATTGCTTTATACAGTAGCCATGCATGCTGTAGAGCTCTCGTATTTAGAATGCAAACTTTTCCAAATCAAATAACAAACTGATGTTATAAAAACAAGAAAACTACAAAAAAAAAAACTTTAAATAAATGTCCAAGCTTTAAGATTGTTAAAACGTTAACTTTCGAAAGATAGGGATTCAACTTTTGATAGTTAATAGAAGTCCTGTTTATGAATATTTATCATTTGCAGAAACTTTATTTGTACCTTTCGTCTAATAGTTTTACAATTTTTTGCGTTTAATATTATAACAATGCAAAGAAAACGTCTTTAAAAGTTGTTCCTGTATTGTAGACTTATGTCAAGAATACTTTCCCCCTACCTTCTAACGGTCCATCGAAGCCTCCATTTTGATGGTTGTAGAGAGAACTTTTCTGACTGACACCACTTAGAAGGGGCTTCTTCTCAGAAACATTCATATCGCTGTTAATAAAATACAATATCTTGTGGCACCGAATGAAATGATATATGAAAAATGTATTTTTTTTATTTCCAGAAAATATTCAGTTTAAATATGTAATCATGATGCACTGAAGCACTGAAAATAGCACTTCCCAAATGCACTGGATTAAATCCTATACGATTTCGATGTTAAATTTTTTTAAAGGTTTTACCTTCATAAAGAATAATTTCCTGAATGAATATAAAAACTACCTCTATAAATTCTGTATATTTTTAAAACTCCTCTTTAAAAGTTCATTCTTCGTGGAGTTTACATAGTCGAGCAAAGTCCTTCGCGTAAGAATATTGACGCGTGACTGATATCATTGTCACCGGGTTCACAGGTGCGTGAAAGTCAGTCAATATATCGGACTTGACTTTTCACCACCTGTGACATTTGGCGCCCAACGAAAAAACCCACTGTTCCCTTGGAATATGCTTCACGCATTTCCTTAACTCATAGAATTCGAGGACGAATTTCTACAAAGAAGGGGAATATGTCACCGGGTTCAAATGTCACATTCAAATGTCACAGGTGGTGAAAAGTCAAGTCTCAACCTGGACTCGAACCCAGGGCCTCTGACGTACCGTGCCAGCGCTCTAACCACTGAGCTATTGAGACCCGATATATTGACTGACTTTCACGCACCTGTGAACCCAGTGACATCATAATATTATACATACTTATACGAGGGTTGATCTAAAAGTAATGTCACTGTGTCAATATCTTTAATATTTGGTGTCATATTATCAAATATAATATCGCAAAAGATTCATAAAAATAAATCTAATCATAATTGAAAATTTTATTCAATAATGTTTTATTTAAGTAATTTTATACGTTGGGGTCGGAAGCAAATTGGAAGGGGGGGGGGGGGGCTAAGCGTACAAAAAAAAATTTCTTATACCTTCAAAAAAACTTGACAAGCAAAAAAAAAATGTCCATTTCCCAAACACGACATAGACATTTAAAATAGTAAACATAAGGGGTGTCGCCGCGTCACAACTAAACATCACGTTTCAAAGTGTCAATTGCTAGAATGAAAAAAGAGAAACACATTAAAAGCATATAAAAAAGTGTCCTTATGACGTCATTGCTTTTTTATCATAAACATTCTTGTTTAATCTGCTGTATTGAACAAAGGAAATGTCGAAATGGAGAAAAACCGCTGGAACGGGCTGTAATGTGTTTTTGCTTCAAAATAGGGAAATCACCCGTTGTTGCAGAAAAATCGCAGCTGTTGCAGAAAAAATACATAACCCGCGTAAGCGGATTATGTAATTTTTTTTCTGCAATAGCTGCGACCGTTAATTCCAGTAATAACAAACAAAGAAAGACATTTTATTGTTTATATTTATATCTGTTTAAATAATCATTTAAAGTAGGATTAAAAAGATTAATTATTGTATTAATGATGCGAACGTCTCATTGATGGAACAGCCACTGATCAAGAAATCTGTACAGGCGACATGCCTAATGTAGTTCATGCAGTGATTAACGCAATGGGCTTTCTTAAGAAATAAAGGAGAAAATATTTAGTGAATGTAAATATATCTTCATCAACTGCATACGTTGTGTATATATCTCAGTAGATTCGATACGCAAGAGCATGCTCTACGTGTGTACAATTTCTAAAACCAGGAAAATAATTGACAAACAAGTTGATGAAACAAGATTATCAGCATCCTCGTTTAAAGTCATCATTTCGTAAGGTTAGTCCATTGTTTACACACTGAATTGACGATGGATTCCTCCGTTTATTTATATCCCGTTCATAACAAGCTCTTAGGAACACACGGCGGGTGTGACTGGTCTGGAGATACTCAATTCTCCGTGGCACCTGATCCCACCTCTGATGTTTTGGAGGTCCGTGTTTGCTCTGCTTTTATTTTGTATTGTTTTATGGACTTTGAGATAGAATTCTGTTCATAATCTCCATATATTTCGTCAAGATACAGTTGTTTGATTATTTAAACCTGGCATTCATATTCTGTTTTATATACGTATTATAGGTATTTTCATATGTGTATAATACGTATAAATGTAAAAAGACAAATTACAAGATATTGGTTTTATACTTATTTTTGCAACGAATAAGTAAACCCAATTTACCTGACCCTTGCAGGAACTTTCAAGATACAGTATAATGGAAACTTTTTGTGCAGTTTCTTTCACTCTTTTTATATTTTTTTTATTAATTTATTATTGTTTGTCAAATTCATCATAGTTTCTTGTCTTTTTTAGGTAAATTAAACAATTGGCTAGCATGAAAAAAGGGCATTTATATTTTTTAAATGTGTACAAGAGAAAAAACCAGGATAAATTTGACGATAAAACAAAAAAACAAATACTACGCAAAAGAATATACATGTATGTAAAGTACATTTGTATGAAGTCTTTTCTAAAGATACGGGTAATATATAAGAAGGAAATTTTAGGTATAATTATTCATATTTAAAAGGTGACATTATTATTACAGTTGAATATTGAATACAATAAATATAAACAGTATTTTTTCAGTTCAATTTTGAGTAAAAGGTGGTAAACATGCGATCGTTCAAAATTTGATTACATATCAAATTTTCTAAATCAAATATGCATAAATATCTAAATATTATCAAAATATCTTTCTTTCTCATGCTTTGAACAGGATTTGTCCTCTGCAATTTTCTCTCATTGGTTATTTGCAAAGTTCTTTATTTCCATACAAAATATATCGGAACACCGCGCCAATTGTGTTGTTTAAACTTTTTATGGTTTCTAGGTTAATTTTTCCCCAATCTGCCTGAATAATAATAATAATCTTTATTGAAAAAATGAATAGCAAAATTATGCGACCATTTATAATTCCCGTCGTACAAAACCGTCTCCCGTGGAAAGAATATACAGCTGATTTCATAAACGTAAATGTATTGAGGATATTTTAAGGACAGCTTTCTCGCCATCTGCACCGAGTTTTTACCCCACTTTTTTGGGCTGTAGTTTTTGTAACTATCTATCCATATGTTTATGAAGGTTGCGTTTTTAGCGGCGAAGATGACGGCGTTCGGCACGCCCCCTTGTGGACCATTTTCCATTGTGCACTCCTTAGTTCTGAATTCGTTAATCGATCTAAGGATATATTGGTCAGTATCAAGGTAAATGCCCCCATACTCTGAAAGTAAAAGAAAGGAAAAAATGAGTTATTTCTGACGGATATTTTGATATCTGTAAATGTATTATATACATGTATAATATTTACACCAATTCCAAATAACCCAACTGAAAGAAATAATAAAGTTCACTAAGGGCCATTTTTGGCCCTGTGAATTTCTGAAAAATCAGAACTGCACAGTTTTAGTTGAAAATATATCAAATTTCAGTTGAACCTTTGGTGTGTGCAGCTATAATCTTATGTGCTCTTACCTTTTAATATTTTTAGTCTCATAATATCAGACTTGTGTTGTACGAATATTATCTTCTTTCCAGAAATATGTGTTGGAGGTGTTAGTTTTACGAGTACGATGTTTTTGACCAGTGTTTGTAATAAATCCCACCACGCACCAAATGGCATAACATCATAGTAGAGAAAAATTAAACAAGGTTTCTGGAATTTGAACACACTGTAAAAACTAACAAAATATATGAAATCGAATTAACGTCCTCCAAATAATATATAGTGAAGAATGTTTGGCACTGGCAAGTTGTCTGCAGAATTTATCAATGACTCGAAACAAGCATTTATCGGGAAAGTCAAACACAGGGGCGTTATTTAAATCCATTGTTGTTTCTAAGAACGAATTTTGTTCTGTGCACCTCGGAATCACCCAATCACCACTCGACTTATTGAAGATGGCTGAAGTCCGATCCGAACAACCAATGGTGGTCGAAAAGCTCCAGTCCGAACCTCCGATTGGTGTAAAATCTGACCAATAAATTATTTATGTTGAATTATTTTTTTTTTTATTTCTGAAGAGAACAAAATAATGACGTTCTTTCTGAATAAGAATTATTTGACTTTGCAAAAAGAAAATGTTTTGTAAACAAAATTGAATGATAACTTACTGTTATATAAACTAGGATAACTTGTATTTCCTTGCTTTTTCTGATAATACAATGCCATTTAAATATCACATGACTCGTCCTCGACAGAAACCACCCTTTGTCTTACTAGAGATGTTTTGTGATGAGTCGTTGTTTCATTTTTAAAACTAATTGTCTTTACATCTGGTACTAGCTGATTAAGAGAGTGTTTTATCAAAGGTCGACTTTTGTTTACATGTAGCACTACTCCTGGAAGAATAGTATTCTCTTGTGACCACGTGTTTGAGTTGATGCAGTAGAGTATAAGGATAAGAATACATGGAAGTCCAACAAACAGAGATATAAATCTGTAAAAACAAACTTTATTAATAGGAAATTGAAAAACAAAAGACTGCTTGTACTTGGTTCATTGGCATAATTCAATCTATTAGGGTGCCTCTATCGTAATAAAGACGTCACATGGTAATCATTTTTCTTTATTCTTATTAATTAAAACATTTAATAAACGTTTAGGTTTTAGTAAAGAATTAGATGACATTTCGGTTCAGAATGTATTGACCTTCGTCCGTGAGAAATTCTCACTCCGACTCTCTATTGTATTGAGTTCGGGGTGTTTCAGCAGACATGCTATGTATCTATAGTTTCTCAAGTTTTTCAGTATTTATAAAAAGAAATTTTGTTAAAAGGGTTGATTTCATCAAAACTTTAAAATAGAAAATTATCTTATCGTTGTCACTTGTGATTTGTGTTTATAAAACACATCGCCAAGATCGAACGTGTAATAAAAAACTTTGAAAATGTTTTTAAAAATGTGAAAAAATATTGATATTGAGAGAAGTGGCATGCCTGTTAATTGAAACATTCGCTGATTGAACATTTTACTTTCATGCAAATTGGTTGAATCTGAATTTATGCGCGCAAGGTTCGTTGTAATAATTGTATAAAACGTTCAGT